CTTTTCAAAATTTGAAACATTAGTGCAGTGGTTTATGTTAAAATAAACCTTTGGGTTAAGTTGTCACAAGAGGGTTTTTCTTGTGTTTCTTGTGAATTTGGTCTTAAATTTTTATTTCAAGTGGCATTAAAAAGTCTTAAAGTCTTGAATTTAACTTGCCTTATGCTGTAGGAACCCTGGGGTGACTGATTCAACTCTCAGATTAATTCATTTAACTCTCAGACTGATTCAACATCACAGAAACACATTTTAGTGATGGTCAGCCTCACATAGCTGCATGCCAAGAACTGTTTATTTAATTGAAAAATCATTTGTACTCAAATTAAGCTAATCCTTGGGTCGCAAGTTATGAATTGTCAATTTAAAATAACATTCTGCTTCAAATAGTATCACTGACCTTTCCACATATATTGGCTTTGTTCCAGTTTGCTTCATGGTCAAGATGGTCTAATTTTGGTGGTCAGGTTTGATTAGTGATTCACAAATCATCTAAGTTTGAAACATTTAAGCATGACAGAAAAGCAAAAGCTGAGAAAATCTATAGGGTTGAAATATTTTTCCCTGCAAGTTATGCAAATATAACCATGAATGTTTCTGTTTGATTCAAAACCATGTCCTTAAAGATCCCAAAGCTCATGTCTTTGTCTTTTAAGGGCTCATGAATCGATCAGAATTCCTCAAAGAAAACCAGCGATTGGTGTCTGCTTGGAAATCAAAATTTAATGCTTCCTCTAGTATTCTAACATAAACCATAGGAACATCTTGCAAGATGCACAGACCCTCTGTGTACTGATCTTAGATGGAAAAAAGGACGCAGACTTGAAAAATGTCTGCAGATTTAGATGTTTTTAGGCTGATCGCTGCTTCCCGATCTTAAAAAAAGCCCAACATGCCCATTCTGATTTTGATCATCACAGATTTAGTTTTTTTAAAGCGTACACTGTCAGTTGTAAGAAAATCACAAAAACTCTTAAACTATTTGGGATACATTTTTTGTATTGTTTTTTTTTTTTATTTCCTTCTTAGCATTGTTTATTTAGGCTGCTGATACAAAGCCTGCCCGATTCTTTGAATAGAGGCTTTGTGTTCTGTTGGTTGCAGATAAGTAAACAAAGTGTTCATAAGTACTTTACATAAAGCCCAAATTATTTTACTGTTTCTTTTTGTTTATGACAGTTTCAGCACCATTGAGATGTTTGAATTGAGATTGAATCAGGTCAAAGGTGCATTGCCACCTTATGGGTGGTCATTTTTGTATTATAATTCATGTCTCCAGTCAAAAAGCATTTTTTTTGTTTTGGTAAAATATTAATGTCTTGATTAATAACCACGTGTAGATATATATGCCACACATTTGACTTCCTTTCACTTCCAAACATTACTAATGCAATCAGATATAATTGACCTTAAATAGCCTTAACTCCCTAATAATATACCTTTTTTAACACCATCTATGTCTGGCTGCAATCACACTGATTGCTAATGCACACAAAAAAGTTAGAGGCTGTTGGTGTCATCTTTAATCAAACTTTTACAAAGTGACTGCTTTCAAACGTTCCTTCAGTCTGTAGCATCTAGCGCTGAAAGCTTTTCACTTTTCACAGATTTTCACTACTTTTTACGTTGTTTTTCACGACTAAGTATTTAGAAATCTATCATCTATAGACTTTATTCAAATGAGTAAAGGTCCTGTCAGTTCTAAGATTATCTGTTCTTCTTTTTGGTGAAGGGAGACTATGATCCTGTCAAGACCCGGGTCCTCCATCTCAAGATGAATCCCGCCAGGGAGGGCAAGCAGCAGCGTCAGCAGGAAGTGGAGGCTCTTCGAGAGGAATTAACTCGTCTTAGGGAACTTGTGCGTTCCTTCCAGGAAGGAGGAATGGTCTTAGATGAGTCCAGCAGTCATAATCCTGGTCTGAGCTTCAGTTTGCCCCCATCCAAAGAAGTGCTGGGTAAGATTCGGGACATGAAACACCTTTTTAGACCAATACTGAAATGAAAAGTGATAAATACATGGTTAAAAATGTTTGCAGATAGTTTTTTATTTATTATGTTTGTTTGCTAGTTTAAAAAAGAATATCATTGGACTAAAGCTAATAATACATAGCCATAATGGGTACCAAAACCTGATATCAAAACGGCTTGGAGCACTGTCTTAAAACCATCACAGACTGAAAAGCTTAAAGTTTTGATGACACAATATTGATTTCATGTAATTTTGCATTAAAATCATGCAGCAGGGCATACCAAGTGGTTCTGGGTTATTTTAAATCAAACAGGATTATTTTTTAAAACAAATATCCTACATTTAGTAGCTCCAATGCAGCATTGATTACTAGTTAGTGGAAACCCCCATGTGCTGCTACATTCTATAATGGAGATGGATGGAAACACTGATAGTTGTTCCAGCACTTCTAGTCTAGAAGTGGTTTTTGTTGTTGAACCATCAGCCAGTTTAAACTCAGGAGAGAGTAGTGATGCTAAGGAACACAGAGGCATCACGTTCTGCTTACCTCACTTGCCCTCATCCAACACGCTTGCAAACTATTGACTTTTTTTTTTTTTTTTTTGAAGTGACTAGCAACCAATCTTGCAACTATTTTCTGGTTTGTTTGACACTTGGCAAAAAAAAGTAAAAGCACTGATCGTTCTGAGTTAACTGTCTGCATCAAACAGAGAGTGCAGCTGTGAGCCCCTCCTGCATTGAAAGCACTGACAGGCTTGCTGTGAAGCTGCAACAAACTGAAGTCAGAGAAGAGAAGACACAAATTCGTCAGGTTTCCCCATTGAAAATTAATCGGGCATGAGCAAAACTTGGATCGATTCCTAGATTACAAAGCAGGGTGTAAACTTAACTTTTTTTTTTCTCTAAAACTGTTACTCTTAACTAGATCCCTTCCTCTAATTGATTCACGCACAGGCTCTGTCACTTATCAGACTGTCTGCAGGTTTGTGAAAGGTGTTAAGAGATAATAAATGAAATTTGCAAAAATTAGGGCCATCAAAAAGGAAGATGTGTGATTTGGATTAAGGATTTCTTTTATAATGATTATCCAACTGTACACTTTCTCTAATCCTTTTTAAATGTATTGCTCCTAAAAAATACATCTATTCATTTAGTCTCAATTATTATATATTTTTATGTGCGAGAGGGAGTTGAGACGGCAGTCTGGTAAAGACATCCATCAGAGTGCATGAGTAAGTGGTCGAACTACTTGGGCTTTAAAAAAAAGATTAAAAAAAAAAAAGAATGCGACTCTGTCAGTCTATGCTCTAACCATTGACTTTGCGCTCCTAACTCTAAAGGGCAGATTATACTTCTGCAACCGCACACATCAAATGTCACTTGCGTCTGGTTGCGAACCAGTTTTGCTGGTACGCTTCTGGGCCGTCGAGTTTGAATTTCTAGGGATGCACAGCAGGCGCCAAAGTCGGCGCCGAGCTTGTCTGAGGCATCGTACAAGAGGTTTTACTTCCAAACCTCCTCGATTAACCTTTCGCCATAGTTGTCCATTGTTCCTCGTTTTTTAAAAATGGCGCACCCCGGCAGCGATCGAGAAGGAGGACCACACAGATAGCCGGAAAGGCATACCAAGGACAAATCACAGCTGCTTTTTGTCTGCTTGAGGTGTGCGCAGGTTTGCGACCGTCCAACACGTAGTCAGGTTTTTGTTTTAGGTGCACAACAACAGTTACAGAGCCTCTGCGTGGCTTGCGTGGTCACGCACAGAGACAGATTTGACGGTTGCAGAAGCTTTGCATCAGAAGAATAAATTGGCCTTAAGCCTTTAGACCCCTACATATTCAAGCAGACATATGTCCAGAAATGTTTGGGTAAAATCTGCGCAGACCTGAGGCAGACTCCGCTACATTGCTCAAAGCTACATTGTTATGACTGCATAGGGATTGTCTCAGTGCTTTGCTTGGTTAGAGTATATTCATACTGCACTGCTTCAAATGTGACCCCTAGCTGACAAGGCTCCATTGATGATAGCTTTGAGCAACACACTGCTCACAGCAGCCAATTACAAGGACATGCAGCGACTTCTTCTGATAGATGTGCAGTGGGTTAAGAAACAGCCCAAACGCCAAACTAGACTTGTCTCTTTTGTTTTTGTAAAGCTAAAATATAACCTCATGTGATGAAGCCATGGCAGTGTGGGACATAAAGGTATTGAATGTATGAAGAATGAACAAATAGGTAAGGTAGACCGTGAACTATGAACAGTCCCCATGGGTATGTGGGACAGACATTAATACTAATGCTTCAAATGCTAACATAACTTCTTCAGCACCATCAACATTGGTTGGAACTCAAGAAAGCCAACATGCACTCAATAAAAAAAAACTGCTTTACGTTTTTATAAAAGGTAATCCAATTTGAAAATGTAGTTATAGAACAGGGTCAGGAACAAAAAAAAAAACAAGTCTGAGTAACGTAAACTGCTGAAGTTAAACAAAATGGACAGTTTGCAATGCGTTATAAAAAGTTCTAAACTAAAGTTAAAGAGTTTAGCTGTAGCTCTCAGTGATGTTGAGATGTAAAAAATGCTGTTATAGAATTTTACTGATTTGCGACGTAACTGCAGGAAATTCTCTCGAAGTGGGAGTTGTCAGTTAGATGGAACAAATTTATATCTAATAAACAATTTATTGTTTGCTTACATTCCTATTTTGTCCCTTTAAATGAAAAATCCTTTGGTTTTTAC